GAAGTAGGATAGGAATTTAAACAAAAACGAATCGACCGTTCAAGTATTACGCGGCAGAATTTCAATTGACTTTGTCCTGGTTAATGCCGGAATCACTATTCCGGCACACGCTGTCGCTATTATGGAGACTGGCCTCGTTATACAAACTGCTAAACGGTCATTTTATTTTTAACTTTACATTCAAGTTCCACGCTCACGGAACTCGATAATAATGCAACTCAATAATATCGAGTTGTCGTCGCGGAGGTAGAATTCGTGAGAGAGAGAACCTTGCGTTTTAATACCTTACCAGGCTACAGTCATAACCTCGTTGCATTACAGCTCTTTAAACACCTGTCCAGCTCGATAGACACGTCGCTAAGCACCATCGTGTTTCCTACTTTCTTCTTCGGCTCGCTGTTAAATATTTACCACGTTTTCCGGAATTGCTATCGTTCTAGGCTCGTTAGCATTTTTCATTTAACGTTTGTTATCTCGATGAACGGTTGCTATTAGAAGCGTACCAAACGTGTATGTGTCATAAACGTAGCAAAAGTACGGTAAGAAAAGTGTCACGATGCAACAAGCAGTGACGCGAGTGTACGAGACAAATTACACGACGATCTTGTAATTTTTGTTTTCGAAATGTTGCTGGGATAACGGTATACAGCACTGATTTTCTCAGTGTCCAAGACAGTTTAAAAATCAGTGAAAAATGTGAAATTATGTGTATGTCGTGAGATAAAAGACAAAGGATAAAAATTGCTGGCCCAAAGAACCATCAGCTCGCGCCAGTGATTTCACAGATCGTTCAGGAATAGAAATCTCGAAAGAAGCGTGCGAAAAAAGGCGAACGTGATTTATGGAAAATCTTGAAACAAACGGTGAATTTGCGATTGGACAACTGTCGAATAGCGCGGTCGAAAAAAAGAATAAAAGAAACACCTTTGCAATTCGTAGTTATGCGTCATCTTTCGTAGACAGAAAACCATAGAAGATCCACCGTATTCGGTGCACACACGCACACACACACCAGGTAAGGGGGGAAAGGAGAGAAAACTGCCTCTCTCTCCGCCTGTGGTATCGTTATTTACTGGCCGTCCGTGAAAGATGAAGTATCGATAAATTGTCGCCGCGCGGGAGCATCAATTACAATCGTATACAATTACGCCCGCTACCTTTCACCGACCGCGAAAAAGCGCGTAGCACACGTGGCGCTTTTAACGGCATCGACGACCGCGCGCGCTCGGGAACGCGACAACGATTTCCGGCCGGTTCGTGGAAGAAGAAGACGATAAAAAAGGACAAAGAACAGCGCCGCGGGAAGGGGTTCAGGGGTCAGAGGAGTAGGAGCGGAGGATGGAAAGAGAGAGAGAAAGAAGAAACCAGGGGGGGGGGAGAGGTGCGGTGAGTCAACGCGCGGGAACGGCGACGAATCATCGTCAATTTCACCGCGGAGCTATGCAGACCGGCGACCAGTGACGTAATCACACCACGGAGGCACCATTGGCCCTTGTATCGTAGCGTTGCCACCAGAACGATCTGCTTTTCTGCAATGCAAAAGAAGAGGGTGGAATAACGATCCTTATGGGGATTTCCCACATACGCAACGAGTCACTGCCACTTCCAGGTAGCCAGTGATAATTTCCTCTTTGCATATCCGCCGACGTTCTACGCGTGTATATCAATGTCTTTGTTTCTTGGAAGAAACCTGGCTCCCTGATGCTGTCTCCCTCCCTCTGTCTCGCCCCCTTTCTCTCTCTGCCGCCGTTCACGATCACGACTATCGATTCTGAGATGGTCGAAATTATCGTTCGATTCGATACGGTTCGTGTACCGTTTGAATATTAAATGTAGGAGAAAGATCGAAAGTAGAACTAGATATTCGTGTTCTGTTATAAATATGTATTTCAACGTGTATCTTAAATATCCAATTCACGCGAGAATTTTATTTTTGGCCGCAAATATATTGGTAAAATTCAGTGGGTATTAGTAAATTTATAAATTTAGCATACCCGAAACCACCACTCTCCCACTTAATCCCTTAAGTATCGCAAGAAAATATTCCAACGAAAAAGAAAAAGAGAAAAAAAAACTTCACTCGTCTACCGCGTCTACTGCAGAATCGATAGCTGAATATTCTAACCCTGGAAAGCGTTACACAGGGAGGGTATCCAATTTTTTCCAGGAGCAATGTGTCTAATTACAGAGAAAACGTGACACGATACAAGCATGCATCGGACGCGGTGAGAAGGCGCGCGGGTAGTAAAATTCGAGGCTGGTCGAATTCATTCTGCCGCCGCTTCAATAATTCTGAACGAAACGAGCCGAACCGGCGCAGAAGAGAGACGCTAATACGGACATTGAAAGGCCGACAGTCGAAAAAGGGAGGAGCAGCAAGAGGTGGAGAAGCAGAAGGGGGAGGAGAGGACACACACACCATCGTGAGGGCGCTCTCTTTTCCTCGTTCGGTCCAACGCTAAGCCGAGAGAGAAGTTTATTCTAGGACGACGAAATTCACAATAACGATCCGAGAGGAAAGAGAGCCAGATAGATAGATGGGGAGGGAGAGAGGGAGAGAGAGAGAGAGAGAGAGAGGGCCGCGACCACAGACGAGCTCGAGATATTTCTGCGCGACGAATTAGCAAGTTGGTCTGCAACTTACATGTACCAGCCGTCGGGGAACGCAAACCGGCGAGGAGGAGAGTTCGATGTGAGCGTGAAAATGCGAAACAAACGGGCAAATATGAGGCCGTGCTGCAGCCTGTGAAAGAGGAAGATCAACCGAGACGTAAATGGCGGCGAAGGAAATCAGCGGGAAAAGCAGAAAGAAAAAGGAACACGAGTCTGACTTGGAATGAGTGAGAGAGAGGAGAGGACGCGATAATTACGTAAAGAATGATCTACGATTTGGTCTCTCTCGGTCCGTGTCGATAGAAAATTTGCTTGCAGGCGTAAGGTATTCGCCTAGATCGCGGAATGACGCACGATTGTGCGCCGATTTCTCTCGAGATTATGCTGAATCACTTGAAAGCGAGAGCGACGAACGAACGCGAAGGACGGTGTTCTCAAGTTCCCTTACAAGCACACCAGCCAGCTAGCAGCCTTGCTTTACACAGGTTCTAGCTGTTTCTCGATTCGACGACAGGTTTTCCTTGTTTCATACATATTATCATTCGATAGACGATCACACACGCTTAGAACGTGCTTATCGAAAGAAATTACCGAACGATACTCTCGACTATACGTCGAAGCCTGTTCTGGACGTAATTGAGGATATAATAATTCGACCCACTAGGATAATGAATCACTCGCAACGAACTGGAGAAAACGTACCGAGCGGAATTTCTCTTTGATATTACGAAAACACGGTGTGCTTTGAACAACATTCGTTTGAGATACGGTGATTCGAGGCTAGAGCACAGTGGGTAAACACATCTTTGCAAAGTGCCTTTCGTCCAGCAACAAGTGTCCCTTAAAATCAATTGTCAATGGTAAAAAGGGAAACGAGGTACTGACGAATTCGCTCGTATGGATACACTGCACGCTTTTAGTATTTATGGGATGCAAAGAGGATATCTTTTCAAACGTTTCCAAGGGTGCGAATTTTAAGATAAAGGTGATGCTTTCTCTTCTCCTCGTACCTAATTTCACGTTACATTAGGATAAAACGTGTTAAACGCTAACAGATATAATCTGTACACTTCCTATGTATAAAAAAAAAAAAAAAATGATGAACTTCATAAGGAAATGATATTTCTTATGTTTAAATCAAATGATTTATAATGCTAAAAATTTTCTAAATTTTGCAAATAAAAAACATGCAAATTCCATTGTATTTAAGTGAAACAGATTTGTACGGATATTGTTAGCGCTTATAACGTAAATGTAACATATTTGAAAGGAAATAATCGTGGAAAATATATCGAAAAATAATTTTAACGTAAATATGGATTTGGTATACGTATTTCAGTTTTCAATGCGTCGAGGCGAAACAGATTCTGCACGTGTGCAAAAGCTGGACCCACATACTTCGTATAGACCGAAGTACGCAGTTATCCGGCTCGACGATTACGAAACTTGCAAAAGTGACCTAAATCCCAGGTACGGGCACCGATATCTTAGAGGCGTTTAGAACGACCTGAAGATAGCGGCGAATGGTCAGTGGCGTCGCCGGAACATCGATTCGCAATTTCATTTTGCATCGGCTGGTCGTTAGCATCGACGCTATTAAGACCGGCGACACGATATCCGGTTCGTCCACAATTAAAGCGCCTTCGAAATTATGAAATGTGAAAATAGTTGCACAACTTGGAGAACGACGAACTGCTCGAGAAAAATGTTCCGCTTTTGCGAGATATCTTTCGAGACGTTATACGTAACGTTTACACTTACTTTTTTCATCGTATGCGTTCAATTCTAATAGATTTTTGTGAAATTTTCAAAAAAAATCATTACAATTTCTAATGCAATTAGACAGTAGCGTGTAATATTACGGGGAATATTAAAAAATAAGCAAATGTTGTGAGAACGGAATATTAGCAAGAACGTGATTCCGACGAAACCGCGAACGCACGTTTAATTTCAACGAATACGGAGAAACGATCCGGTACAATCTCTGTACTCGGGTGTATGTATAAAGAGTAACGAAAACGGATGTAAACAAGTTGAACACTTACACGAGCAACGGTGCTGTGAATTTGCAGATATGGCGTGGTTTGTCGCTGACTTATTGGTAGTCAGCCAATAGCATTGTCCCCATTTGTTAGCGACGCAACAACGGCACCCGTTGGCACCAGCATGCCGAAAAAACAAACGCACTGAATTTTTCCTTTTTCTGTTTTCCAGATGCCCGTTGGTTCGATGTTTAACCTTACTTCGTTTACCTCCCGCAGCCGTGAGGAGATACATGCACCAAAGTCAGCGGTAAGACACGGTTCACATAAAAACACAACACGCATCCGTAGACAAGGTTAAGTCTGACAAAACCACGTTGGCGAACGTTCGAGCGAGTCCAGAAGAAACAGGCTAATCACGAAGTTTGTATGTAATCGAGAATAGCACTATGTGTACGTGCGTGCGTGTGCACAACACAGTACGAAGAGTATACTAGGAAAGTATACTCGAGAAATTATTCTCGCGCTTGTCTTGTATCGGCGAAATTGAACGCGTAAGTTTCACCGCGGATGATGGAGAACACGCTGGTCACGCGAGCAACAACTTTGTCCGCGGTTCAAGGAATTTCGTCGAAACCGCGTGACTTTCGGTATCGCGTTACTGCTACGGAAAATTACAAACTGTTCGAAAACGATACGGGCGAATATAATATATATTTCAAAGTAGTCACACCAGGATTATACGAAGATATCCAAATATCGAAAGAACTTTTTCTTATAAACACTCTCCTTTCACAAAGACTGAACGCACGAATTAGTCATCGACGACGTTGTACAAGCTGATTTTCTCTATGACGTAGAAAAAAATACTTGGTGTTTCACTTGTGTCCTACCAGTTACACGCACATGTGGAAGTGGAAGGCACGGAAATTTTATATCGCGACTCGACGCGATCTATCACGTAAGCCCGACACGTAGTCGGGAAAATAGATAAATACAAACGACGAATAAAGTCTATCCGTCTCACCCCATATTATATATACGTGATTTTAGCGGTACCACGTGTTCATGATACGACGAAGATACTTGCAACCTCTGGGATTACTTGCGCGACGTATCCCGCGAAAATTCAACGTTTTGCCGCACGCTGAACGGAAAGGCCGCCAACGCGAGACCACGTTATGAAGTCGAAAGTACGGTATAAAAAGGAAAATCACGAACTTATGCTTATTCGCGACAGATCGAGCGAAAAAAAATTATTCTTCCACGACACACTGGCTCACGTCCCGCCGCGAACTGCGAACGCGAGAAGAGCCGGTCGACTCGAGCGCCACGCTCGATCAGCGCGGAAATCGAAGTTGCACGAAGATATCCGGAGAAACACGAACCGCCGGTTAAGGCTAGAGATTACAATGCACGCGAATTCATAGCGCGGAGAGTGCAAAATTCGTTTCCTTCTTCCACAACTTATTATCTCCGCGGTATCTTAATAAATGCACATTTTTAGTTTCGTCGATAATTCAGTTTAATCTTAATAACAAATTAAAAGATGTAAAGTTAAAATTGCCTTGGCAATTTTTCTAGTATTTCCCTTAATCACAAACACGCGAATAGTAGCGACTAAAGAAATTCACGTTTTTTGACGAATCGGTAAACCGTTCGAGCTAAATACACCGCGGACATTTTGACAGTCGATGCAAAGCCCTCAGTTACTCAATAATCCCTTCTGTCCCGCGTTCCCGCCGAATCTTGATGTACTTCGAGTAGTTTTGCGGAGAGCGGAATTTGAGCACATAATGATGGTGATTTTTAGGCAAGCGACCAGGCAAACCAGGCGTTTCAAGCGCGCGGGGAGGAAATCGAACGAAAGAACGCCGTAAAGAGGTCTCACCGGTCGGTCTGTATCGATAATTCGTTGTTATCGAAACTTCAAGAGGTCTAGCGTAATCGTCAATTTGAAAGTAAAATCGCGAGAGGAATCGGTCGAAATCGAACCAGTCGTTGGAAACACCAAAACGCGTACTATCGAACGAGTGGGAAAGAAAAAATAATAATTACACGATTTTACACCAAACGATGCAAAATTATCTCACATGTTGTCCCATTTTGATAAACTTGCCATCGATAAATCCACGCCGAGTTCAATTCCATTTGAATCACGCGATACGACAATTACGCATCTTTTTTCACGCGTTATTCGTGCAACAGGGTAACGTAATCAGCGAATGATCGCGCGTACATATTGACATCTATTTTCTGCGTCATATTTTACGTTTAAATGTGCCTAAAAATATCCCTCGTACAAAAGGGCGGCGGTCCAGAGAGAGAAAGAGAGAAAACGGGAAGCGCGTTTTATTCTTTCGTACGTAAATATTCGATGAATCCACTGAAAAACCGGCAACATCTGAATACACCCTCTATCCGTGTAGTTATTTTTTTTTGCTCCTTTTTCTTTGATTTCACAAGTTGGCGAACCATTCAACATGAATTTTTCCTAATTAATCAATATCCCGGACCCGTGCCGGCTCGACCATGCGTACGGCTCCCCGGTGAAGAAAGGGGAAAAACGTGGACAGAAAAACACGCGTTGCACGTACAATTTTGTTTGTACGTGAAAACGAACGAACGAACGAACGAACGAACGGTCGGCGAGCTCGCGGCATCTGCGGACACATCGGGGACTGTTCTTCTATAATTGATTTCCCCATTGTATTAAATACGTGCTTCATGAAGTACGTGCTTGTATAGCCTGTGTTTTTCCCTGACCCTAGTTTTTTTCATTCCTTTTCAAATGTATAGTTTCTATCATGTTATGACGTGTTCTCCACTCTGTCTTCTCTTTCTTTTTCTCTCTATTTCCTTTAATTCATTTTATTCTCCATCTCGAGCTTTCAATAATAATATCCAACGTTCCCCCCTTTGTTTCCCTCAAGTATAACAAAAAAGAGAGAAGAGAAGAGGAGAAAGAAAGATCTGTACAGCTACACATTGTATCCTCATAAAGAAGGGATCAACGAACGTCTTACACGGAGGTGAAACAACGGAGATTAATTAAATACACGACGTCTCGCAACAGAGAATTAACAATTTCAGCGATGCTTCTTGTTGAGAGCAGAGAGCGCGCAAACCTTTTGTAACTGTCAATCGGCGCAAGAACTGTGAATGAAGATGAACAGGCGATAATTTAGTCGGAAAGGCTGGCGCTTCTAGAAACCGGCGGTAACGTTCTCCTTTTTGTGGTGGGGCAGGAGCGTGTGCACACGAGAGCACCGCCGCGTTCCGCGCGCGATATCGCGACATTAAAAATCAGCACCAAGAAGAGAGAGAGAGAAAAAGAAAAAAAGAAGGGGAAAAAAAAAGAACTGGCGCACCTTCTGATGCATCGGGGTGGTAACAGCTGTTGAAGCAGCTGCCACGTGGCCAGCAGACACCTATGATTGTCGGATCGGTTCGAAATTTTTTTTTTTCTCTCCTCCTGTTTACAATCGATACGGCTTTCCGTGTATTATCGAGAATTTTACTCGTAAAACGGAACCGAAACACGCCCCAGCTTGTGCTGTCACGTTTTGTCCACTGATCAAACTTCATTAAAGTACACCACATGTATGAGATTCAATTAAATTACTTTATTACTTCGTAGAAATTACTGTGCACAGTTTTACCACCATTTCTCTTGCA